TGGACCAAAAGCGAGAGATCAAGCGCGAGACACCTTCAGTCAAGAGCGTCACTCGCCGAGGGCCGTCGAATGCGCTGCAGGTTTCGTCCGCCGTGAAGGGAACGGAGTCACAGGTTGCGAGGAAGACTGTAAGGAGGAGTCTGCGTCATCGTCGTCCATTGGGCGAGTAGGGACACCGCGTTGCGCGGTGATGTAAGCGACTGTTTCATCTGAGCTCGCGTCACGGCGTTCACGATGGTTTCACTCGGAGATACACGTTGTGGCACCGGCGTGTTGACCGGTGTCGTGTCCGAAGCCACAGCTTCTCCCCCACCAAGAGTGGAGTCACGGGACTCCGTGGGATGACCCACGGCAAGCATCGCCGGAACGCGGGGATGACGAGCGAAGTTAACGAAGAAAGGAGTCATGCCCGTCGAAAAATGCTCGGCGTTATTCACAGCAAACTCAGCTAGGGGCAAGAATGAACTCCAGTTCTTGAACGAGGTTGCGTAGCTCCGAAGTACGTCTTCAAAGACGCGGTTAACTTGTTCAGTTTGCCCATCTGTCTCCGGATGTCCCGCGGTCGACATCATCAGATTCGTGCCCAATAATTCGAAGTGCTTCGACCAAAAAGCGGCTGTGAACCGCGGATCGCGATCAAAGATAATTGACTCGGGAAGACCGTGGTGGCGGAAGAGATCGTCGACGAAATGCACCGCGGACTCCTCCGCGGTGACCTCAACAGACACAGGTACGAAGTGAACCATCTTGCTGAACCTGTCCACGAAGCCCAACATCTATTACGACCCTTCTCACCGGGTGGTAATCCGAAGACAAAGTCCATCAACACCGAACGCCAGACGTCGGTGGGAATCGGGAGTGGAAACAGGGGAGCCCTCGACGACGGCGAGTGCTTCACGCGTTGAAATTTTTGCAGGTGCGCACCCGCTTGCGCACCCATTTATACTGGTGAGGCCAGTAGAAGTCTCTCGACACCGCGGCGGAAGTCTTTTCGCGCCCCAAATGCCATCCATTGGCGTGTCGTGATACCGTGAATGATCCGTGCGCGAAGATCTTTGTCATTTGACACTACCACTCGAGGAGCATTGAATCGGTCGATGGTATACGTCAACAAGGATCTGTCAAGGGGATACCGCTCGATATGACTGCGAGTCGAGCGTGACAGAGCTTTCAATGACGCATCGCTGGGCGAGCGAGGGTGCGTCAGGATACCGGCATATTGCTCGTTGTATTCGTACGCGGCGGAAATCTCTTCTCGCAGCGACAACTCGGAGGTGACGCTCGTCGGGTTCAGTCCGGACGCGCATGAGTCCTCTTCTTCATCTTCGACAACGGCCTGACGTCCAAGACCTTCGTGCGAGTCATAGTCCGGACGCCGAGGTAGTCCGTCGGCGAGAATGTTGTTCTTGCTAGGCTTGTAATTCACCATGAAGCTGTACTCGGAGAAGAACGATAACCAGCGGGCCATGCGTTGGGACAAGTGGGGGAACTTCATCGCGGTTCGCACCGATGCGTGATCAGTGTAAACGGCGAACGTCTGCTCTCCAAGCAGATAGACTCTGAACTTAATCAGCGTGTAGCGTATGGAGGGGAGCTCCTTGTCGTGTCCGGGATAATTCCTCTCCACCGGATTCAACTGGCGGGACTGGTAGCTAATCACTCGTTCTCGACCCTCGTCATCGAATTGCATCAGGGCGCTCCCGATGACGAAGTTGCTCGCATGGCACACGACGTGGAGTGGCTGCGATTCGTCCGCCAGCATCAACACAGGTGCGCACGACAGGCTCTTCTTCACCGCGTCAAAGGCATCTCGGTGTTCGGGTTCCCATACCCACGGCGTGTCTTTCTTCAACAAGGTCGGCAACAGCTGGATGAGCTTGGGGTAGTTTTTCGTGTACTTGTGGAGGTAGTTCGCCATGCCCAGCCACTGTCGTAGCTCAGTGGGGTTCGTCGGAGTTGGCCAAGAACAGACCGACGCAATTTTCTCAGGATCCACACGGACTCCGTTCTTGCTCATATAGCAGCCCAACACCGGGATCTCAGTAGCACAGAAGACACACTTCTTCAAATTCGCGTAGAGCTGGATCTCCCGCATCACTTGGAAGACCTGCTTCAAGTGCCGCAGATGGACTTCTAGCGAGAAGACGTTGCCTTCAGCGCGACTGTGGACGAAGATATCATCGAAGTAACTTGGTGCGAAATCGCGAAGAGGACGAAACACATGGGAGACCATGCAATTGAGAGGTGCAGGAGCGTTTTTTCAGGCCCTGTGGCATAACAAGCCACTCCAAGAGCATACCATTGGGAGTGCTGACTGCTGTGAGAGGCGTGTCCTTCTCTCTCATCAGGATCTGGTAGAAGCCGTCGGTCAACTCAATGACGCTGTAGATCACGCTTCCCGCCATCGAGTCCAACACCATGTCCTTACGTGGAATAGGCGTCTGCACTGGGATAGTCGCTTCGTTCATCTTATTGAATGCGTGAACAATGCGCCAACCGCCGGTAGCCTTCTTCATGCAGAACGTCGGACTCGAGCGTGGCGAAATACTCTCACGAACGTGGCCTGCCTTAAGTCGACTCTCGAAGAACTCATCGATTGCCTTGACTCGATCGCGCGGCAAAGGTCACCGCTCGACCGTCTTCTCGTTCTCCGATGGGAACCCACGCTCGACCACCGACTTGTTGTTCAGTGGGAACCCATGCTCGACCACCGCCTCGTTGTTCGGTAGGAACCCATGCTCGACCACCATCTCATTCTTTGGTGAGAACCCGTGTTCAACCACCGTCTCATTCTCGGCTCGCGAGGGCGTCCGTTGCTGGGGCGTCGGCCCGCCGGCGTCATCCAGCAGTACTGAACAAGGTGCGCAGAGGGCCATCTCTCACTCTGTGCATCGCTTGCGTCGTGGACGTCTTGTCCACGACGGTAGCATGGGGCCAGTCTCTTGGAGCTACCAAGAGGTGCGTGAAGACCTCACTCTAGTCGATGCCGCTTCGATGCTTGGTTGATCGGGCCAACCAATCGATCTCAGGCTGGTACCGTGCCAACCCTGGAATGCCCAGGATGCAGTCAATTGCGTAATTCATCTCGATCACCAGGAAGTCGTCCACACTGCGGAAACCATCGAACGTATACGGCAGTGACAGCTCGCGTCCCGAGACACAGTGTGGCTTACCGTCCGCAAGTTTGACGACGACCTCGCCCGGGCCACTCCGGACGTGTACTCTTGCCGGGAGTATCGACAGACACGACGCGCGGAAGAAATTATTCGATGCTCCTGAGTCCAGGAGTGCGCGTAGTGGACGCCGGGCGCCGGCGACGTGGAGACTCAGGATAGGCAGTCTCGTGTCGCCGTTGGCAGCGGTGACATTAGAGCGTGCGTGTAGCACGTGGGAGCTAGAAGCTCGGATTACCACCAGAGGCCCCGGACTTCCGTTCCAGCCAGTAGGGGGCTCCACACCTACTGGCCCAAGCGGTTTTTTTAGTGATCGGCCTGGGTTGGCCCGTCGACCGCTTCGACGTTGGCAACAACATGAGCTGGCTCACGGCACGCGGCCGCGCGATGACCCAGCTTTCGACAGCGGAAGCATGTCAATTGGCGGGATGGCCTACCTCCACGGTTCGTGGAGGAGCTGGACCTATGACGACTATTCGATGCCTCGACCGCGTCGATCTCCATGGGTTCGGGTACATCCACTCAGTCAGCCGCCGACATTCCCCGGGCGTATAACGACGTCACCACGTAGTCCTTGCAAAGCGGGAGAGCGAACGCTTTTCTCGAGCGAATCCGGTTCAGCCCGGGTGAGACTATATCTCATCATTCCCTCTCGCATGCCGAATACGAAGACGTGGACTTGCGACGCCATGCCAATCGGCTTCGTGACGATAGTCACGAAGCAAGGTGACGTGTCTTCCGCACGTAATCGCGCATCGACATCTTGCCTAACTGGAGGGCAAAGAATTTCGCTCGCACGCGAGGCACAGATCACTCTGGATAGCATCCAGAGTGGGGAAGGCGAGGGGGTCAACGACCAGTTTGCTGAGGGCCCATTCTTTGGCCTTCCCAGACAACCGGGACATCAGCAAGTTCACCTTCGCGGAGGGCGCCTCGATTAACCTCGAGGCGATGGTGATATCGATCTCTCGGAACTAGCGGTTCAGGGGAAGCCTGTCAGAGCCAACTCCAGAATAGGTAGATGTCTCCATCTTTACGGCATCATTCTTGGAGCTGGAGGGAGTTTGTACTCGCTGCTTGGCGGTAGCAAGTTCACGTTCCATCAATTCTTGAGCACCTTGACGATGCTGGTCCGGCGACGCTGTGCTCAACAGCGAGGTCATGACAGCCTCTCCGGACACCGCCTGTAGGCGATGAAGAGCTTCCCACTCAACGCGAGTGAGGTGAGGGAAGGCTTTGTGACCCAGTGTCATCCCGGCGGATCCGGTAGGGTCTTCAATCATGTTCATCTTGGTCATTGGAAGGACTACTAAGTGCTACCAGATGTAACGGGCCAGGTATTTACCGTTACCAGCTAACACGTAGCGATGAGGAAGCTCGCAATAACAGAACAAGTACTAAATTCTTGGTAAAATAAACTCTGATTTAGGTTAAGTCCAGGGCGGCAGCCCTGGACCCTTGAGAACCACTCAAGTGCAACTCGTCTCCTGATTGGCTGATATGTTAATACTTTTCATCCAATCAGGAAGCGACTACACGGCACGCGCTGCTCGTGTGCTAATCTACCTACTTATGTAACTGGGGTGGCCCATTACAGCCCTTGCTTTCGGCTGCACTTCCTTCTCGCCGGAGAGAACATTGTAGTCTACACTGCGTGCACGATGCCACCACTGTGGAGGCATCGTGCACGCGGTCCTAAAATGCATGGCCCGACTGGTCCGTACTTGTCGCACCGTCCTCTGCTCTTCGTGTGCGCTACACAGAGATGAGCGTCTTCATCGGGAGTCCAGGGTGCTGCATTAGGCATGACCGTGTGTACGGTGAGCGGAAGTCAATGGTCGTCGCAGTTTTGCTATTCATCATTTTGCGAAGTGAATACAGGACGCGTATTCACTACGATATTTTTGAAATCCACATCATTTATGCAAATGTTACTTCAGGGCTACTTCGGGGTCCTTGTCACTTTGCCGTTGGAGGATCCAACTTGGAGCTTTTGCAATCATGAAATTTAGTTCACTACTACGTTATTTGCAATATCGCTGGAGAAACTTAAAACCAGGCTAAACCAGGCTCTCTTTCAAGTCAATCAAAATTGCGCTCCCCTCAACACAATTCATAGATTACAGATAAATATTTTGAAAACAAACATAAATGTACCTTTCTATAGGTAGAAGACCGATACATGTAGGTCACCTGGTCCAATGTTTTATGGCATGGGAAGATATCAAGTCAGGATGAAGCGTACGGCTTCCTTGAAGCTGATAAAAATCATTCCTGGACACCTGTCCACACCGAGGCGGATGGGTCAGGCCACACCCGCAACCAACACGAATGTCGACAGTATTAATACCTATTTCCCGACACTGAATAGCACGCGAGCATTTCGCAACTTGTATTCTTCCAAGACAGCCATTCCAGAAGCGACTCTGAGGAACGTCACGACCATCGTGCCGTCCAAGTGCAGTTAATACAATTGATTTTAACTATCATTTCCGTCCTGGTGGTATCTGTCGCAGCTATCACGACACCGGAGATCACGTAGGGAAACGTGTTGAACACGGAGGTGATTTAGAGGAGAGCGGAAGACGTGGTGGAGGTGGTGGAGGGGGAGGCAGAGTACGTCGAGCTGGAAAGGTCTCTACACATGGCTTCTTCGCACACCCGTATCCATACGTCTTACCACATCTCAGAAAACTGTTGAAACCCCCTTACAAAGAAGCCAGCACAAGCTATTGAAGGTGTGAGGTTCACGTGCCACCTACGCCAGCACGTGTAATATTCCAAATTACAGAGAAGTTGCAGAACGCGAATCGCAAACCTTCGTCAAAAGTGCAATCCGTCGGTAAACACTTCTCTTCTTGGTTCCTCGTAGTTCTTATCTCAGTTGGCAGCATGAAACATTTCCGCTACGTCTTGATGGGTAAGAATGCACTTTATATTCATCTTGGGGAAGTGTGGATCTGGTCTGGAGTAGAAATCGATGAAAAACTGATCACATTGCCGTGGTATGCAAATGTGAATCGACCTAACCGTGGGATGGTGCCTTGACGACCAAAGTACATTAAGATAGCTGATCCAATTCCATCGTGCTAGTCGGTTTCTTGCTTCAAAAACGAAATCTGTTCTTTTACGAATCCTTGTGCTACTTTCGTGTCTTATGAGCCCCCGTTAAGATGCGTAGCAGCACAGCGGTGTTTTCGTATCGGACAATGCCTGATTACCGTCAAAATATCATTTTCCGATAATCTAGTTCGAGTGGGGGATATACATGTTTCTCTTGCGCGGGCGAGAAGTGGCGGATTGCGCGCTGCTTATGAGGTTTTGAAATGAGCTATCTACCTTCTCTACCTCGACTGCGATCGGGAAACCGACGTTTAGCAGTTGCCTTTGGTTCTTTACCTCTACTGCGATCGGGAAACCGATTTTTAGCAATTGCCCTTGGCTCTTCGAGTCTCGGTCGTTGCAAACCCGACCATCTCCAACAATCTAGTTCGAGTGGGGAAAATACATGTTTCTCTTGAGCGGGCGAGGAGTGGCGGCACCCCAATACACACCGGTGTTGCTCGCTAAAGTATGAAGCGTTTAAAGGAGGTGATGACTACCTTGAAGCCACCTAGCACATCATCTTCGACAGCCCCGCTGAACCTTGAGGTGTTAGCACCGGATATTTCTCGAAAACACTCGACAGCCATCGTCTCATCACTTTTATTGCCAAACGGTCTGCACCGGCGTTGAGGAGCGCGGTTGCCGCGCTAATTCCCACCGAGTGCGTCGAGAAACGATCCGGATCCACACCACTTTGATGAGCGGCTGATTTTATCGTGTTCGCCCGTTCCCTTGCTGAGATACCTGCTCCAATGCCAGTCGAAAGTGCTGGTAGTTCTGGTGTCGTTCAGAGAGCTCTAGCACCTTTGACGATCCAATGTGCAGCTATCACTGGACAGATATTGGCATCGCCAAACTTATCATGGTATCGTACCTCTTCACGGCCAAACTGGTTGTAATGGCCCCCACAAGTGGTATGCCGACACGTTCAGCATGCCGAGGTTTGCACTAGTTTCCATTGGCACGATAAAAACAGATGCCACCTAGGTTCAACACATAGGCGTGATGTTGGTGTCCGATGTAGAGGTACTCTGATCTTCGCAGAAGAAAGAAAAAGCCAAGTAGCAGCCCATCCCACAGCAAGCGATTGCGCGCATACTGGAGGTCTAAACTGGTCAAAATTGATTGAAGAAGTTGGACCGATAGAGGATGCTTCTTGGTTACCGGGGATGTGAACCGCCGAATTCCTCGCAACAGTATGGCGTGGCTTGCATCCACACCAGGATCATAACCTAGGTTGTTCCGGTGGTACTTCCTAACAGCGCACAGTTTGGCGCAGATTGTTGAGTACGTATTGCCGGTTCCTGCATTATTCATGCCGAATCGTCGAGGAATACTGCGAAAGCTCCTAATTGTGTGGCATTTGCGCCCAAATCGTTTTGTGACAACCACGGAGAATACGTCACCCAGTCGCACCAATTAGACCATTGATTCCAGTATCGTTGGTAGTGTTTTTGGGACGACTCCGCAAGGGCACACGCCCGCAAAATTGCTCTTAAACCTGCGAGAGATTCCTTGAGCTGCTCGGTAGCTCGACCTGTGACCAACCAGACGAAAGATTAGTGAATTTTAATCGATGCTGCGCCGATTGCCACACCCTTGAGCCAGTATCTGCCATAACATTTGTGTCTCCAGCTATGTGATCTGCCGACGCGTAAAACGAATGTTTAACTTCTCGAAGACTGAGAATTCGCAGAAGATTTTGGGCTTCTTGATTTCGACTTGCTCGTCGATTGTGCCAAGAGATGGCGGATGTATTATCGATCCCGAAGCGCACGTGACATAGTCTGTTCATCAAGAGACCTGACCGAAACTGTCCCCAGACAAGAGAAGCAAATACAGTGTTCATCCGTTCCCGCAGATTGATTTTCTAATCGCCTTCACTGGTCGACCGAAAGCGAGCTATGCTGACCGGTTCTTGCTGATTAATTTGGCCCTGGAGATATTCCCGTCGTGCGAGGCAAAGCGCACACAATCGAGCGTCACTTGCGTCCATGTAGTTTCGTAGTCTATTGGCTGTGTGCCTGAGAATCGAGATGAAGTCACCGAATTTAGCTCCGCCGTGAGCAAAATCGCTCTGAACCACATTAAATCATCACGTGCTCCCGGCTTGATTAAAATTACTCCATATCGTTTCGATCCCGAGAGCAAAGCTGACAACTGCTGGAAGAAAGATTTAGCCGACGGGATTCATGTTACTACATGTCGGAGGCTTCCTAAAAGCCTGCGAATGTCCTGATGTGGGGTTGTAACTTGGCCTAACATACTGTTGATTCGGGATGAAGCTTTTAAAATTTTCTCTTGCAGCATCGCGAGCGTTGAGAGAGGGATATTCCACAATAGGCCAAGCATGTTTTCCTTCACTCTCCCACACCGTAAACGTTTCCTCATTAATGGCCTCCGGACCGAGAACTGTTGTCATAGCCGTACGAAGGGCAAGATTCGCCTCTGTGAGCGGCGAGACAATATCCGGCTCAATGAGATTATGATCATCGCACCACGTTTTGGCGTCGAAGTTGTCCGCGCCCTCGGGAGATTGAAGATGTCATTTAGGTGATGCACAGACATACAAATAACTGATTCCTGCTCCTGCCATCCAATAGTGTAGTGGTGAAAGCGTCCAGCCGAAGGGACAGCACAAATCAATTACTAATATTCGCAACTCGGGAACAGTGCCGGCAAAGTGTCCCACAAAATCAGTGTTGACTGCGATATGCCGGAAGGCTCCTGCTACATCTCCAGACATAAGTTTCGTGATGCCAGGAAATCGTGCCTCCACTTCTAAAATGCGAGTGAGGACCGTCGTAAGGGACGGATATTGAGTCATTGACAACCGTGTTATCGTTTGCCGAGAGTTTTCCGGGTATGATAGATCGTGAACCACCCTGGCATCGTCTGAGAGAGGTGTAGTACCCTTCTGGACAGCTCCAAACGGACTACATGTGACGTTTTCTAAAGATGCCAACAAATCAATGTCTAGGACTAGATACTGTCCCGCTTCTAGGCCTTTCCGTATTTGAGATAATTCAAGGCTGCTGTAGCTGAAGCGTGGTTTTCAGGGCGTTTATCCTGGACAGGAAATTGGGTCTCCCATTTTGGACGGACACCGTGCCAGACAATATCTTCCCATTCCCGTCGGTATTAATACGAAGAGAGTTCGATGGTATCACCAAAGCTTTGTTCGGACGGGAATCGTGTTCGGACTCACCACGAAGAAGGCGAACGAACTCGGGTAGTTGCATGCGTGATTTCCGTAAGAATGCTGAATATACCCGCTGCTTCTCAGAATCAATACAGAGCTTGATTTCGCCATTTACTAACGTAGGAGAGACCGATGGTGCTGGATCTTTTATATCGACACTGACTAAAGCCGCTCGGAAACCGGATTCGCTTTGTTCCAGATTCAGCGAGAGGAGGTGCCCCGACTGATAGTGTCTGTGCATATGGTCTTTGTTCGCGCAAAATGAATTGAATAAGATCTTGCATAACAGGATTGTCGCTGCCGTCGCTGTAGCTGGAGGTATCCATGATGTCCTCAGCATTGCCAGTGTTGCATGAGAATCTTGATGTGGAAGTGCCAGGTCTCTGGAAGCTGTGGCCGCTCTCCCGGAGACTTGAGTTATGAGATATATCTTCGCCAGCGCAGCAACCAGCTGGCTCGGTGACTCTTACCCGCCCTGACCAGTTGTCATGGGACGGCATATCTCCTGTGCCAGTGGGGCTTACTGCCCCTCCATTGGGTCTTGTGGCCACACGATGATGTTACGGGGTTGTGGCTACGCCTGAGTCTGTCGGTTCCCGTGTGTCGTGCTGGTGCTCGCGAATATGATGACTGTGTGAATCGTTGTGTGACCGACTCAGGTGGCTTTCGTCGACGCCTGGGTGTGCAGAAGCCTGGTGCGCACCCTGGCCCTTTCAATCGTCAGACTGCTCACGCGACATTGAGGCGCAGACTTTACGGAGACCACCGTAATTTTTCTGGATGAAATCGAACACAATTCCAAGTAGCGTGGCTGGTGCAAAATGGCCACGCTTGCGAGAAAAGCAGCCGTCTCGCTTGCACATACAGACTCTGGTCGTTCATCATCGGCAGTGCATCTTGCACATCCTGTGGAACTGGTGCGCGGGCTGGTGCTCCTGGTTTGCATTTGAGGACACGTGATGTACCAGACGTTGACGCCCCGGCGGCTTGGTGGTTCAATACCTGTGAGACCTGGAGACACGGTAGTGCCGACATTCGCACATCAGTGATAATTTGCATTGTGGGGACGAACGAAGGGTCTGCACACGAGAACTCATCACGGACATGGTGTGCCTTGTCGAGCTCCTTGAGCGCGAGAAAGTCACGAACGCGTTCAAACCGCACATTGCTTCAGTAGACCAGTTCACTCAGCGCGCTAACACTAGAAAAACCTCCGCGTGATTTCAGTGACGTGACAAACTTCCTCGCCTCGGCCACCAGGTCACTGACGTACGGCATGAATACAACGGCGACTAAAACTGGCAAACCGTCGATGGAGTCAATCACAGAGCCAAGATCCTTTGGTACCACAGCTGTTGGAAGTGAAGCTGATTTAGAGAAGTGTTGAGCGACGACACCTGCTTGCTTCCAACAACGATTGGGGCGAAATGCAGGACGGAAAGACCACGAAGACCTAAGTCCCAGCTGTAGATAGCGCGAAGGATGGTAGGGTGTGGCAAGAACGCGTATGAATCGTGCTGGACCTGCAGAGTCTCAAGTAACAATTGAGGCTCCAGAGCAGCGTACGTACCGGTAACTATCTGACTGTGAATGACGCGTTGAAGAGCGGACGGGTTATACTGTGCCTTCGTTGACGTTGAACCACTGTACGAGATCATACCAGAGCTACTGCCGAGAGCAAGTGGTGACTCTCGCAGAGCAATTACTTGATCAATACTGGTAACATCGAGGTTTTACCTGAATATGAAACGCGTAGTCGCTTAAGAGATTCCACGTCCTCAGCCACAGGTTTAGTAGCGAAAAGCTCACGCTTACGAGCAGGTTGCACGGATACCGAGGTGGGTGCTTGCCCCCAAATCGCCTCACCATCGCTATCGTCAGAATAGCTTAGCTGACTGGGCGGAAATGACTGTCCTTCCGTGACAGGCTCAATTTGACGTGTGCCTGAAGTTGCGGTGCCGAGAGCAGCCGTGACTGGACCGGTAAAGATGCCTTCCCCCGGATTGACGGTTGGAGGAACGCGTCGACGTCCATCCTGATAATATGAAAAGTCCAGGACATACTTGATCGTAATAAACACCACTCGTGCCTCTGCAGCTACGTAAAGAGGAATCGTATGACTCCCGTCGAGTTCAGGAGCAGAAAGGTGCCTGAGGATGATTGCCGAGTTGCGCGTAGCACGCAAACCTGATCCACTAAAGTGATCAAACGCGTGAGAATGGCGTTGACGCATCTCAGCAGGCATCCGATCTGCGACTGGGACATCGGAACAAGGTCGTAGAGCATATCTTGGAATGGTAAGATCTTGAAGTTCAAGCGAGTTAAAAAAACCAAGTGCTGCTTTTCCTCCCCAAAGCACACAAACAATTCTCCAGCAAGCCGGGATGGAAACCAGGTGTAACCCGTGACGACTCCGTAATCCCAACGTTTGGGCGATCCTTGTTCAGCTTTAGCGACGCACACGTAGCTGCCCACGTAGGTGCCAATTCTGCTGAGAGCCTCCTCCTTAGTTACAGCTCGCTGACGGATCTCGACTGCGGATCGAGTACATTCATGTCCATCGAGGAAAACCCAGTGACCACTCGCGACCCTTTCCACCAGCACGGGTTAGTCAGAAGAAGACGGCATCTCCCCCAACCCGTACGCATACCCATCGGTCTCCAGTGAAGAGGGTTCGAAGTAGGCGAAGACTTGAGAAGTTTGCATACTAGAAAGCGGTGTTGAAGGAGACTTGCGCGCTGCTTATGAGGTTTCGAAATGAGCTATCTACCTTCTCTACCTCTACTGCGATCGGGAAACCGTCGTTTAGCAGTTGCGCTTGGCTCTTCGAGTCTCAGTCGTTGCAAAACCAACCAGGCCGCACATGTGACAGAAGTTAGATTAGAGTGAGAAAGATTTGCTATTGTTTGAAAATTAAATTGATCACTTGAATATAAACTGCATAATTTGTAACGATACTAAATATTTAACTAAACTTCACTAGTCGTTGCAAAACCAACCAGGCCGCACATGTGACAGAAGTTAGATTAGAGTGAGAAAGATTTGCTATTGTTTGAAAATTAAATTGATCACTTGAATATAAACTGCATAATTTGTAACGATACTAAATATTTAACTAAACTTCACTACCCTGAAAGATCCCAGTCCAGCAACCAGTTTGGAGATGGTTACCTACTGTAATTTAAAAGAAACTAGTGTTCGGGATCCGCTACGCGGACGCTTGTGTGGTTTGCTGTAGCACGTGAAAATGATTCACCTCCGCTTCGCACCGGCGGGATTTTTAAGGAGACGTAAAATATCAAGCAATATACAACTATAAGTATTACTTAAAATAATACACCACTTTTACAACGGTATTTAAGCCTGAGTCTTCATAGATAAGGCTCATTTGAAGTTACACTCATTAGAAGCTAATTATATACGTTCTTGAGCATCTACAATACGTTTTGTAAAACCAAACAGTATATTTTGAGTTATACTAATTGCCAGTGTAGGATAGGGAACGAAGTTGTAGCGGACTTGAGGCGTAAGAAGTAGATTTGTAATTAATTGAGAGTGTATTGGACAGTCTACATAACCCGAAGCCATGCACCGATGCACTACCTACATTCCTACAAAGTTTCAGCTCCTAAGCCACAATATTGAAGGTGGGTATGCACAATCAATAACGTAGTTTCGTTACATCGCCTCAACTTCAACTTGACCACTTCTCCACCAATCACAGTAGGGTATTTCACACAATTGACCAATCACATCACAGTATTACATGCAGCAGTATGCCTTTAGCAACAATGCTACAGTAAGCATGTTGGGAGGTAGTATCCAGTAGATAGACTGTGAAGGTTAATCGCAACAACATTGTTTAGTTTCACTCAACAATGTCTCGGTATAAGATAGTTTTGTATGAACGCTGCCGTCTTCGTCAACTGTTTCTGGGGCGATTGCACTCTTGATCGCCTTTCTCTTTATCACCCGAGACAATTCCACATACAGTTGACCGTGAGCAAATACATATTATTCTAGGTAATGGTGAATCGATTGTCCTTGAGCCTTGTTGATGGTCAATGCTAAAACTGGTACAACAGGAATTTGCTTACGCATCATAGTGAACGGAAACGCTGTATCTTCGTCGTTGCTGAAGAACACAATACGTGGTAAAAACACTCGCTTACCACGTCGTGGTCCAGTCACTACTGTTGACGTCGATGAATTTTTCGCGCAGACTTACAACTCGAAGACGTGTTCCGTTGCACAAACCGTCGTCACTGTTTAGATTACGAATCATAACGTCTGGCGTTCCCATTTTCAAAATCATTTTGTGAGGAGGCATACCAGTAAAATTGAGTAAGTTTAAGAACTCTAGTTCAACCAAAACGCCTGGGCCCTAGAGACTATCGTTGGATAAATACTCTTTTTCGCCCGAAAGACGTTCAGCTACCATTCCATTGATTCTTCTAACACTAGCATTTGTTGGCGCCAAAATCGCACGATCCACAAAATATTGATCTGGTAAATGTTCATATCCCACCCCGGGATAGACCGCGTCAATCAAAGCGTTTATAGTTTGTAAACGGCGGTCGTCTTATGGCTCCTGATCATCGCAGGGATCGTACCCTTTATTATCCCGTAGTAGGGTAACATTAAGGAATTTAACCTAATTTTGGCTTTCACCAATAACCAGAGGATGACTTTCTTCCCATTATGTGGCCACAAGCACCCTGATTTGAACTCTTGTACTTGAACCGAAGCTTCACGCGACAAGTGCTACTATGTCTCACAATGTAGGGGTCAAGGAGCGTTGGGCGAGGCGGCGGCGGCGAGGAGTTACTGACGGCGGAGCTATTGCAGGGAAGGTGGCTTGTAGCTTGGAGGATGAATTGAGAAGTGAGATTAATGAGGCTGGTTAAACTTGCTAGCACGCGTTGGGGACAAGCAACAAGAATCATGTCCCCATCCTAAAGCCTATCAATTCTCTCTATCCATATGAATCCTAAATCTACCAATGAACTGGTCTTATCTAGATACGTCGCTTGAACTTAAAATTTTCTTGATGTGTCCCAAAATCCAGAATCCAGTCATAACTGAATTCTTTCAAATCATTAGAATTTACGTGCAATCAAACCCATGATTATGGGAGGTCTTGGCCGTTGCAGTTTTGGAAATTGCAAAGTTGCAGTGTTAGGACCATGTATTTTGGATAGACCTACAAACACATGTAATGTAAAATTTGGACGTGGTTGTCGCCAGTAGCAATTGATGCCGCTGACGACAACTGCGTCACAACCATGCATCAACTGGCTGGCTGACCCTGGCTTCAAAATGTGGCCGTTTCTGATGGTTCTATTCGGTGAACGGCGGGATAATCGACTCGCAAGGAAGCAGGGATGGAAAACTCGTGGTAATTGTTGCAGGCGTACACTTTACAAATATTACTGAACATACGTTTTACAACTACAACTTCGCCACTCATCAACACGTATGCTCGTTGAGTGTGCGTTTGACAAGATCAAAGACGTTTAAAATGGTGCATGGAGTTACAGACCGCCAGCCCCATGCTCGCAACGCTCGTATGATCTGCACAACGGTTCCCAAAGTTAGCCAACGTTTACTTCGCTGCTACTTAGTTCTCTGTTGTCTTACTTGCGCTCACCAGAGCAAGTTCCACACTGAGGTCAACCGTCTCTACGTGAGATGGAGGACCGGATGGCCCCATCGTTCTTACCTACCCTAAACCGGGTAGTCCAGGAAGAGGATGGAAGCCTTGCTAAGCTTGATACTCAGATGGTGAGGAAGTGAACTCCACAGCCCACTACAGCTATGAATTATTTTGATCGACACTGGGATCGAATGCCCGATTAAATTACCTTAGGAGAAGCAAAGAGGAACGCGTATATGGAACGCGTTTACTGTCAAGATAACGAGTAAAAATCCGTGTTTCAGCTGCACTCGCTTTCCAACAATCACTACTTTTGTGCTAAAGTGGTACGCGAATCATTTTGCTCTTTTGTCTCTGCAAACAGCTTAATTGGAGACACTAACATTTGCTGAACGCTCTCCATGCTCTGTCGAAGGGTGAGGTTGGCCCAGCGCTGTGTTTCCATGAAGTCCGCTTGGTTCGTCGTGGCAGTCTTGCTCCAATATATTCTGTAGCGTGGGTCTTAGTCTGTCACGTAGCGCGGCGGAAGCGGTGACGACGAAGACGACGGAAACGAAG